TGGAACTGCTTACATTTTATTTTATCTTAAGTTATAGTTTATCAAGTATTATTAAAAGTAGTAGTAGTAATAGGTGTGTGTGTGTGTGTGTGTGTGTGTGTGTGTGTGTGTGTCTAGGCATTTGTGTAGCGGTCAGAGGACAACTTTCTCTCCTACACTGTAGGTCCCAGGGATCTAACTCAGGTCATCTGGCTTGCACAGCACGCACTTCTACTTGGCTCCAAAGCTTAGTATTTAATTACAACTTTAAAATGTTACTGAAGACCTTCATGGCTTGCCAAATGACAGGCGGCTGTAGATTCATAGCCAATATTAAAAAGAAATCACACGTAAGAGGTGAAGCCACACATATATAAGTGGATATAAATGTTTTCTTGTATTGATTTCTCAAGAATTATTACTTGGCAGAATGTGTGTAGAGCTCTTGACCCCTCCCTATTGATAGATGCCATCTAGTGGTGAGAAGTAATAGCTGCTCACAGGTAATCCAATTTACAAGAGATTGTTATCACTAATTTTGTAAAAACAAAATAAAAAATACTGGTTAAGGAGCAGTATGTTTCAACTAGGAACAAAATTCGGGGATGATGGGAACCTGAAATCTGCTGTGGTGTGGAATAGGAAAAGCAGTCCTGTTATTGCATCAAGTGATGTCTTACTCAGTCATCAGTTTCTTGTCTGACCCAGCCTGGAATCAGGCAATGGAAATGGTGAACACTGGTAACTACAATGTTTCTGCACTCAGAGGCATCACCCACCTCCACCCTTGGGGTTTTATCATCCACCTTATCTTTGGAGATGAGGGGATGGAATTTTAAGTTGTTACTTATGTATACAGCCAAGTGTCTGAAAGCTTCTAAACCCTTTGCTGTTGAGACTCTGAGGGCTGGGATGATGGTGAAGACTCTTCTTGGGTGACATGTAACTTCTGCTCTTCCTTCCTCCTGCCCTGTACAGAGGCAGAAGGCCCTCAAACCTCTCTGGAGGCAGTTGTCCCTCCTTGCTTGGTTGCAGGCCAGGCCTGAAGACACTAGAGTAGGAAGTGTTTAAATCATCAGAAAAGAAATTGCACCCATACCCATCCTGGAAGTCCATAGGTGTGGGCACATGGGCCAACATATAGGTCTCCTCTTCTGTGAAATATGAAATAAGGTTAGGAAATCTTTGTCTGCTGAAAGATACCCATCAGTCACTGAAGTTTTTGTTGTTACTTTTTTTTTTTTTTCTTTTTTGAGACGTGATCTTACTCAGTAGCCCAGGCATGCCAGCAACTTAATTGTGTAGTCCAGGCTGGCCTAGAGCTTGCAGCAATCCTCCTGCCTCAGTCTCCCAAGTACCAGAATTATAGAAGTTTGTTAGTCCTTATGCCCAACATTTTGCATCTTTCTATGTCTCCATGGCGATCTATGGTACTTTAAGTTCACAGTGACATTTTAACTATATTTTCACAGTTTAGATCTGTTTCCTGCAGAAACCCAGCTGGGTTTGCTCTTCCTGAAGGCAGCTGCCTCTGTTGTCTCCTGTTGTCCCCAGAGTGACCCTGACAGAGCTGAGATTTTTAGTAGGTGCCATTCTTGGTCTCCTGTGAGAGTATATACATTATGTCACACGATGGCAATTAGCACTATAATACATTTCTCTCTTGGTTTTCACTTCAAGGGAACATAGGCTTTATTTTGGTCAGGGATAGTGGTATATCACATATCCAGGGCAAGCAGCCAGTAGTGTGTGTGTGTGTGTGTGTGTGTGTGTGTGTGTGTGTCTGTCTGTCTGTCTGTCTGTCTGTCTGTAGTCTGTTTGTCTGATAGGGTGTGTGCGTGCCACTATATACTTGTAGATGTCAGAGGACAACTTCATAGAGTCAGTTCCCTCTTTCCACTTTTACATGGGTTTTAGGGATCAAATAGGTTATCAGGCTCATGTACCAAAAGGGCTTAACCAACTGATTCATCTCCCCAGCCACCAAAGCTACTTCTTAAAACCTTGTTACGACTGGAAAGATGGCTCTGTGGTTAAGACCCCATTCAGTCTTGAGTTCAATTCCCAGCACTCACATGGCTAGTTGCAACTGTCTATAACTGTAGTCCTATGGAATCCAGCGCCCTCTTCTGGTGCATAAATGTACATGCAGGTAAAACATCCACATACATAAAATACATAAATAGATAAGTGTTTGCTAAGTGCAGTGGCATATGCCTTTAATCTTACCACTCCAGAGGTAGAGGCAGGTGGATATCTATATATTCAAGGCCAGTCTGGTTTACAGAATGAGCTCCAGGACAACCAAACTATATATAGAGACTTTGTCCCCCTCCCCCCCCCAAAAAAAAATCAAAGCAACAAGACAAAAACAAAACTTGTTGAGGGACCTTTTCTATTGTACTTAAGGTCACATCCATACATTCTGTTGTGAGAGGCTCCTACTGTGAAGACAGGGGAAGCATAGCCAGAAGCTGGACACATGTGAGGACAACCCTGCATCCCAAGCAAACAGAACCAGCAGAGACCAGTGACATATATGTGTGTACTGCATAAGCAGGGACACTGCACCAGGCCAGAGGGCATGGCTGCTTCCCAGGCCGGCCTGGTACTATCTCTCTGGGTTTCCCAGTCATTGGCACTGTTTCTTTATTTCCTCCTGTTTTAGTATTTCCTTTCTCTTTCTTCTTTCTTTCTTTTCTGGAGATGAAGGTGGCATTTTGAGCTTTACACAGGTCAGGCAAGTACACCTCAGCCAAGCTACACCACCTTCTCCTTCCTTTCCCATCTGACAGCTTTGGCACAGCCTTTGCTGACTATCCTAAGGTTGGTCTGCATGCACCATCTCTCCTTGTGGGTGCCAGAGCACCTACCTGCTCTCAAATGGCTCCTTGTCCTGAAGCCTCATATGGATGTCAACATCCCTTTGGTTCTTTTGTTTGTTTGTTTTGTTTTTCAAGACAGGGTTTCTCTGTGGTTTTGGAGGTTGTCCTGGAACTAGCCCTTGTAGACCAGATCTGCTTGCCTCTGCCTCCCGAGTGTTGGGATTAGAAACACAAGCCACCAAAGCCTAGTTGTTGCAGATTATGAATATTCATTTGGCACGAAAAGGAAAGCTTTAATGGGACGGTTGTAGTAGAAAGGGGAAGGAAGAAATAAAGGTGGAGCTCTATATCTTCGATAAACTGGCCCTTGACCTTTACTACCCTGCATGTATCCTGGTAGGTTAAATCTTGTGGCTTGTTAAGGAAATTAACAAGTGAAAAGGTAAACAGACACAAGCAGCAGGAAGGTTAGCTGGCAAGCTTAGCTCCTTGGATTGGCTGGCATATCTTTGTTCCTTTCACTTCTCTTAGACTGACCAGTGTGGGACAATTGGAGAGGAAGGATCCCTAGAGCTTGTTTATGTAGGCACCCCTAAGCACAGGAGACTCCCTAGGGTAATGAGGCCTTTGAAAGGCAGGGAGGGAGGCTAGGGGAAAGTGACCAGGAGATGATGAATCTATAATAGCTCAACTAATTTTCACATGCATTAGTGAATGCTTGCATTCACATATGTGTATACATGAATCCAATGCCCACAGAGGCCAGAAGAGGGTTTCTAATCCTCTGGAATTGGAGTTACAGAAGTCCAAGAGTGGCTTTTGGAAGCTGGGCACCAAAGCCAGGTCCCCTGCAGAAACGGTGAGTGCTCTTAGTGGCTGAGGAATCTGGCTCACACTGGGTTTTAGACAAGCTCACCTGTATGCTTCATGGTTGGTATTTTTCTTTGAAACTTCAGCAGTCTCCAAACCTTTGCTAGAAGAGGCATTTTATATTCTTTCTGTAAGATACCTTGAGCCCATGGCCATGCACTGTCCTCCTCATCAGTGTTGTATTCTGCAGTCTAAACCCTGAGTTTAATCTTCACATGCCTCGAAAGCAATAGATCAGGGACTTGTAAATAAATAAATAAACTTCCCAGGAAGCACAGCAGCATAGGTCATTTATCAAGCTCCATGCTTGCTGAATACGTACATACACGACCTTGCAAACACTAAGTATGAAACAACCATTGAGAAAGACCTCAAAACCTGAAGATCTCAGGATTGTCGTGTCATATACAGGTCGCTGAAATGTTTGCCAGGCCAGTTCTACGCATTCCACCTATATTATAAAATGATATATAGAGGATTGGACAATGTGTACCCAGAGAAATACAACGTGGGTGGGGATCCACTTTGTTTAAATTTTACCAGAGTGTGTGTGCGTAGTAGGAAGCACTGCGACCAGGAAGGACGGATAACGTTATAACATTATCTCTTCCAGGGAGAAGCTCAAAGTCCCAATCAAACCAGATCGAGACTCCAGGGACACAAGGTGAAGCCGGCTTGGGAAATCCTGCCACCTGCACCTCCTCAATTACGCCTCCTCGAGCCGGTACATCTCAGAATAGGGCCCAACCCAGGTGGACTGCAGCAAGCCGCAGGTGAGACTTCCTGGAGGCAAGACAAGGCCTGAACACGGGGTGCAGACGTTCCGGGCAGGAGAGAGCCCACTCGAGCATCACAGGTTCCCCCGACCTGCGCTTAGGACTTTTGCGTCAAGTGCGTCCCCCGGGCTTCGCAGGACTGTTGTGATCCTCAGGAGGCCAGAAGGGTAAGAGCTTGCGGGGCTGAGAGGCCACACCCGGAGAGCACGGGTCGCTCCGAGGGCGCCCCGACTTGCGAGCGGTGGGAGGCCGGTTGCTCCTCGCAGCAGGATGAAGGCTCGCGCTCCCTGCTACAAGCGACTCACTCTCCCAGGACGCTCGCGCGCGCCCGACGGCAAGGTCTGGCCAGGAGGCGCGCCAATGAGCGTGGGCGGAGCGCTAGAGGCGGGGTCTGTCCTGTTGGCCAATGGGCGTGGGCGGAGCTCTAGGGGCGGGGGCTGTCCGGATACTGGCCAATGAAAGGAGCTGGAGCGCTCGGGGTGGGACCTGCCGGAGCACCGGCCAATAGGCAGGGACTGAGCGCGTGGGGGCGGTACCGGGGCGGGCGGCGGCGGCGGGAGCCGGCTGCAGACGGAGCCGGGCGGCCGAGGACGCAGCGCGGCGTCTGGCGACAGCTCGAGCCGCGGGCGCAGCGGCCGCGCGGGGAGCGCGCCCATGGGTAGCGCGGGACGGCGGCGGGCGGCGAGGCCCCGGCTTCTGCGCGCCGGCCCTAGAGGGGCCCAGAGGACTGCCGCTCTAAGGTGCGTGTCGGGGGGTTGCGGGGTGCGTCCGCTGGTGCGGGTCGCAGGGACCGGACCTGCCCGGCTGCGCCCAACTTGCGGGCCGCTCCCCCGGGGCTCCCGCTCCTTTGTACGCGCGGGCTCGCATCTTCGCGGGTGAGGACTGCGGTCCGGGAGCTACCCAGCAGCGTCGGCACATTCATTTCAGTCCGGTCGCAGAACCCAGAGAATCAGTTTCGGCTCATCCTTCCGAGAGCGAGAGCCGAGGACAACTTGGCGTCACCCCTCCGGGAGACGTTTGGCGTCATTAACCGGCTCCGGGTACCTTAATTCAGCCCGGCCAACGCCAGCACCAGTGAACCGACAGCAAGTGCGTTTTCACGAATTGGGGCTCGCGGTACCTGATTTTGGTCAAAACAGGACTTAGGCGCTTTGGATTCTGCTTAGAGTTGACTTGGTTTGGACAAAGATGGCTTTAAGAAAGAATAAACAGCGAGAGAAAAAGGCAAAGCGAAAAACACCCCAAACCCAAGTCATTCACAGAAAACCGGGCATCTTGGTTATTCTCATTGGTTTTCTCAGTAACTTCAAAATAGTCCCAGAAATGTTCCTTTTGTCTGCGGTTTCACTTCTAAACTTTAACACTAGATGGCTTTCTTATGACAGGCAGTACACTGCCCGCTTGAGTTTCCTGCGTCTGCAATCTAGGCTGGGATTTATTTATTTATTTATTTAACGTCTTACAAATTGGAATGGAAGGGAAGAAAGTATCCCAAACTGCTGCTTTGTTTGAAATATACTATTCCCCTTAAAGCTTAAGCCAGTTATTTTTGAAAATACAGAAAAGTGGGTTTTGGTGTCTACCACCTAAAAGGTGAATATGACCAAGCTGAGCTCTGCATCGTGTTTTGACTTATTTGGAGAATGGAGAGTCCTAGGGTGGGTTTGGTGATTACACTTGAATAGATTTCTACTTATGCTGTTTTCGCTGCCCGGGTTTAGTTTGGAGGCTTCGGGGACAGGCAGAGATGGGATCTGTGGTAGGAAAGAACAGTCTGTCTTGAGTTTGGGGCTTATGCCTGAGGGTTGACTAGCAGCATTTGAGGGAGATTCGTAGTTCGGTGCATCTGCCTGAGTCATACTGAGGATTGTGTCAAGGACCTCTGCATTTCCTTCTTCCCTGATGAGGTCTGCTTCTTTTTTTCTAACTGAGCACAGCTCTTTAATGACTAGTACAGTTGCCTCTAGTTAACTGGTCCAGCAGATTTTTACATTTTGGGTTAAGTGCTTTTTTTTTTTTTTTTTTTTTTTTTTTTTAAATTTAAACCTAGAGGCTTACATGTACTAGACAAGCACTCTACCACCAAGCTACATTCCTAGTCCCACTTAATTAATAACTTAAAATAGTCATTCATTTATTCTTATTATTTTGGAAGAGTCTCACTAAGCTATCTAGGCTGACCTCACATGGTAGCTCAAACAGGCTTTGAACTTGTGATCCTCTTGCATCATGAGTGACTTAAATGACAGGTGTGCCCTGCCACGCCCCACTTCTTGTTCAGTACTTTTACTCTACAAGCAACGTGACAGCTAGCTGCAAGTCTTGCTCAGATAGGCAGGCATATTAGCTGAAGAAATTTGAATTTGGCTTTATAGTTGTCATTTCTTGTGTGTCTTGCTTGGCTTAAAATACAACAATTTAAATTTGTATGCTCTAAATTAGAATGTATTTTTAAATATGGGAGGGGGGGAGATCCCCGGCTGAGTAGACATCTGGGAAGTGGAGAACATAATAAAACAGGAACTGCTTTCCTCACTACCCACGTGCTGCCTATAGATGGGGTGAGGTGAACTTGCATAAGATACCTTATAGACATTTGTTTGCTCCAGAGGATGAAGAGAGCAATACTGGATCCAGTTAGGGTGTGGGGGTGGAGCTTCCGCTTGGGAGTGCAAGCCTGGGAATTGCACTGTCTGGCTTGAGTGTATATTTTTCAGAACATGATTTTGATACTATAAAATGCTAGGCTTCTATAAAGAGCATTTTGTTTTCTTCTGTAACTTTTCTCCTCAAGAGTGGGATTATCATCTTAGTCAACACTATAGAATATACATTTGGAAAGGGCATCCATCCCCCCACCTACCCCCCACCCTGCCACTGGTATGATTTTGGAAGGGCTCCTTTCTGTAGCTTGGGAATCTTCTTCACCTGAGACAAAGGTACAATCAATTAGATTGAAAATCTATTTCCAAAACTAAGGAATTGTTAGTACCAATGGCAATTTTCTGGCTTGAAAACGCTGTGCATGGGCCTAGTCTTGGAATTGTGTGTCCACTGACATGGATCTGCTCCTAATGCCTTGTCCCAGCAGTAGTTGTTAAACCCAGCTTTGGGAAGCCTTGAATTGTCCCTTTGAACTTCTGATCTCTGGGTGGTAGGTAGTAGATTCAGATTACAAGTCTTTACAAAGATGTGGTGGATTTTAAGAAAACTTGGATTATGCTTGCTAACTTGAATGAAATATGAAGTTAAGCCCTAAAGAATACACAAGAACCATGGTCTAGATTTTCTTCTTGTACCTATGTAGGCTTTCCTTTTTTGGTGAGTAGGAGGAAGGGTGAGACCCTGGAGGGCTGTTCTTTGTAGTTCCTAGGAGAGTTTGGGTAAAGCAGAGCATAGCTCCTTTTGGCTCCAAAACCATAGGTTTCTTTCTTTCATCATTTCACTTTTTGCTTTTTAGTGTGTGTGTGTGTGTGTGTGTGTGTGTGTGTGTGTGTGTGTGTGACAGACATGATGTCGATTTTCTTCCATCACATGGATTCCTGGAATTGAATTTAGGCTTGGCCTTTACCCACTGAACCATCTTACCAGCCCCTTTTGTTTCTTTATTGTTTAAAATACATGCATTAGAGCAATAAAAGTGCCTGGCCAGGATGGTTTATATTTCCCATAATTATCAGTCCTGCTAGATTCCGTGTATTGTAAGTTTGTATATAGTGAACCTCCTTGTATGGATTTATAGTTGCTAGGTTTACCTTTGAAATCAATGACTCTGAAATTGCTTTTCTATGCCAATTGCGTTTAGCTTTGACCCTTTTTAAGGAGAGGTAGCCATGCAATTAGAATTCAAATGCCTCCCAACTTCAAGGGTAAATTAGATTGATCGTCTCTGAACCTGATGCATAAACTTTTCCCAAGAGTGGCAAGTGCTCTAGGGGTTCAGATCTGATGTTGCAGGGTTTTTCTTCCTGTTAGAGTTCCTCTGTAGTGAACTGCTCCTTGAGACCTGTTTCCTGTGCAGCATTGTGTAGAAAACTGAGTAATAGAAAGGAAGACAGGCTGTGAGCTGAGTATAATTGTCATGTCAGCCACTATTTCTGTGCCAGAAAGGACTTTTAGCACTGTTACCATCAATCCATAAAATTTAGAAAATAAAACCAAGCCACATGTGGTATATTCTGATGGTCTCAACACTAGGGATCAGAGGCAGGAAGATCAGGAGTTTAAAGGCATCCTTAGCTACATAATGAATTCAAGGGCAGCCTGGGTCCCCATCTCACAAAATCAACACAAATGGGGCTGGAGAGAGATCTCAGCAGTTAAGAGCACTGGCTGTTCTTCCAGAGGATCCGGGTTCAATTCTCAGCACCCACATGACAGCTCACAACCCTCTGTAACTCTAAGATCTGACATCCTCACACAGACATACATGCAGGCAAAACACCAATGCACATAAAATAAAAATAACTAATTTAAAAAATAGCACAAAAACAAATTTTAAGGATGTTAGATTTATATGCATTTGACCTTAATACCCTAAGCACATCATTTGAATATGCATAGTTTATTAATTAAATGAAACATAGCCATTATTAACTATTATCAATGCATTTAATCAAGATAAGGTAGGGCTGGTGTGGTAGCTCTTGCCTGTGATCTCAGCTCTAGGGAGGCTGAGGCAGGAGGATTGCTGGGAATTTGAGGACAGTCTAGTCAACAAAGTTTGGACCCTGTCTCAAAACAACAGAAGAAGAAAGTAACACCAAAAAGATATGTATTGGGGAAGAACCCTCCCCCCCCCACCGTGTGACTAACTGGAGAGAACATTTAGTGTAGTTACCTCATACCTGCTCATCTGCCCACACATACCTTTTCCTTTCTTACATGACAGTGAGAATGTCACAAAGAGGAGGACTTAGAAGGCACGGCCCACTTACCTAGGTTTCTTTGGTGCAGATCCTTCCATACAGTTTCTGATTGCACTGAGAACTGAACCTGGAGCCTTGGCACAAACCAGGCATGTCTCCTACTGGACTAAACCCCAGGCAGCTTCCATATGACTTCCAAAGGGCATTTTCCAGAGGAATCCCAGTGGGGCCTGGAAAGGGGAGTGGAATACCACTTTTTGATGGTTTCAAATCAAATTAAATTCAATTAAAACGGGAAAGTTTTTTTTTTTTTTTTTTTTTTTTTTTATTTGCAATGCTTGGGGTTGAATTCTGGTCTTCCACGTACTAGACATGTGTTTTACCATGGAGTCACACACTTCTTTTTATTTTTTATTTTGAGACAGGACTAAGTTGCCCATGCTGACCTTAATTATTCCTTAGCCTAAGATGGTCTTGAACTAACTTGGGATCCTTCTGGCTTGACCTTCTGAGTAGCTGAGAAGACAGAACTACACCACCAGGCCTGACATTAGGAAGTTTCTTGAGCTATGGAATAGCCTTGTGCTACCTGTTCTTTGGAATTTTACCCTGTCCAGGGCCTTTAGTACACATCTTTTTGAGCAGTGGTTTTGAACCTTTCTAATTCTGTGGCCCTTTAATACTGTCCCTCATGTTATAGTGGACCCTAGCCATAAAATGACATTGATATTTCATAACAAAATTTGCTACTGTATGAATTATAATGTAAAGTTCTGATATGGGACCCCAGGGGTTTGCGACCCACAGGTTGAGAACCATTGCTCTAGAGCACTGTTTCATCTCTGCTACATACTTGTCAAAGTGAGGCTAGT